GAGAATCTTTTCTGTCGGGGGGTCAGTTGCAAGTGCGAGGGCGGCAAAGGTGTCCATGATCAGGTTGACCCAGAGTAGTTGAACCGCACTCAGGACACTTGTATTGTCACTCCTGTAGAGGGAGGAGACAAAGGTCAAGACGACAGCACTAATGTTGACTGTGATCTGGAATTGGAGAAACTTTGCTACGGCATCGTTGACAGCTCTGCCCCAGGCGATCGCCGTAACAATAGACTTGAAGTTGTCATCGAGAAGGATGATAGAGCTGGCCTCCTTAGCAACTTCCGTGCCTGCAATACCCATTGAAAAACCGACATCAGCCGTCTTCAGAGCCGGCCCGTCGTTAGTGCCATCGCCGGTGACAGCCACGGTTTCGCCCAGCTTCTTGAGCCGTGCCACCAAGATCCGTTTGTCTTCGGGCGAGGAACGGGCCAGGACTTGCAGGCGGGGAATGACCTCGTCCATCTCGTCGTCTGATAGCTGACGGAATTTGGGACCCTCCATGACAATGCCATCCTCTGTCTTGATTCCGCAGGATATGGCGATGGCGGTGGCCGTTGCGATATTGTCACCAGTGACCATCTTCACCTGCACACCAGCAGTACGGCACTTTTGAATTGCAGCCGGCACCTCGGGTCTCAGGGGATCCTGGATACCCACAACACCAAGCCAAGTCATGTTGCGGAAGAGATCTTCGAACTTTGCTGCAGACGAATCGTCTTCCACGCGTTGCGCACCCTTTGGAGGCCAGCTTGGGAAATCCCGGTACACAAGACCAATAGTGCGCAGGGACTTCACTGCATAAGACTCGATCTTATCAAGCATCTTCTGGCGGTCCTTCTCGGTGAGTGAGTCGATCATGAGACCATGCGAAGACGCACTAAGATCGGAGACCTTCGAGGAGCATGCGCCAACCATGATCTCAGCGGCCCCTTTGACCAGAAGACGATAACCTGCCGTGGGCTCACGATAGACCACACCCATACACTTGCGGGAGGAGTCGAAGGGGATCAGCTGAACAATTTCCGCAGAGCCACGTTCAGTAGTCACGTCCATGCCGAGATAGTCTCTGGCCATTTGCAGCAATGCCACTTCCGTCTTACTTCCGATAAACTCTCTGGACCCTTCCTTCTCTTCCTCGAACGCGGTGGAATTCAAAGCAATGCTCTTGATGATCAGGTCGCGTACCGCAGTTGAGCATTGTTTGAAGATCCCGGCCACTGTCGTCGAGCCGTCGGACGGGTGGTCATTCTCCGTTCTGTCCTGGCTGAAGCTCTTTTGGGTTCCAACGGTCCCAGCGACGACAGTCATCTTGTTTTGTGTTAGAGTACCGGTCTTGTCGGAGCAGATAACCGTGGCATTGCCCATGGTTTCGCAAGCACGAAGTACACGGACGAGATTGTTTTCCTTGACCATTCGTGTCGTGGCAAATGCAAGAGCTAGTGTTACGGCCAGGGGAAGGCCCTCTGAGGAGAATTAGTCAAGTGCTGATTTCATGCTGAAGGTTCTTGAGCCTCGTACCGGGAATGGCCACAACGATGACCGTGACCGCAACGATAAGAATATCGACAAATTCCTTGCCTTTGACCGCAGGACTGGCAGGATTATTCGGCAGTTGGGCAACGAATCTGAAGAACAAGGCGAAGAACAAGATGATGGCAGCGCTAGTGAGGTTAGCATGAGTCCTATATATTGAGCTGGTTATCCTACCTAGAGCCAAGCCATCCGATCCAGTTGGCAAGTCTTCCCAACTTCACCTGAAGAGGAGTGGGATCGTTCGACTCTTGCAGTGAGAGCAAGATACGGCCATAGGAAGAGTACGGTCCGACACTGGTCGCGAGGTAAGTCCCTACCCCTTCAAGGACTTTACTGCCCGAGATCATGAAAGGGTCTAGTTTCTTAGTGGCAGTTCCGTTAACGATGCGCTGCCAGACCTCGTGTCCATTGGTCTTCTTCATCTGATCCGACTCTCCAGTGGCAGAGGACTCGTCACATTTTATTCCGTGTCCAGAGATGAGAATACCATCTGCAGGAACAGAGTCGCCGGGCTCCAGGTGGAGTACATCGCCGACTGTGATATCGAAGATCGAGATCATAGCCACTTTGCCGGAGCGGACAGCCTTGACTTCCCGATCGCTATTCTGTGACATGGTTAGAACATTTTAGGCAAGCCGTGGGACCCGATCCGCCTACCCTCTTGTTCAACTTGGCAAACTGTCTCTCCTTTTGCCAGTCATTCGCAGCAGTCACGACAGTTACAATCAGGATAGCCACGCAGATGGCGACACCTTCGATCCAATCCACGCCATGCCCCTCATCGACTGTTTCGTAGATACCCAGAGACAGCGAGATGATAGCGGCTATTGTAAGCAGAATGATAATCTTGTCATTGTAAGCGAACCATAGCAGCTTCAGGAAACCCGTCGATTTCCGCGCAGGCAACTTATTCTGGCTGAAGACGCGAACACGATCCTGAAACCTTGACCCGCCGCCTGATGCCGCTGCTGCCGGTGCTGGTGCCGTTGGCACATCGTGTGAATTTCCTTTTGAGAGTTTCTGGTCGCTAGAAGTCGCTTCCTGAAAATCGACCGTGCCGTCTAGGAGAGTCTCGTCCTCGGATAACCCAGACGTCAAATCCGTCCGCAGCCCTTTTTCCAGCCCGTGCAGTCCCCCGAGCGCCTGAAACGCAGCGAGCGACTTGGGATTGAACATCTTGTTGAGCTGGCCCGGGGAGAAGGCGAACTTGTTGTTCTCGACCCAGAAATCCTGCTCATTCCGCGGATCCGGAGTCAGGGCCTCGGACAGAGGTACATCATCGTAGGCTTCTTTCGATATGGTAAATTCTGAGTTTGCCCGGGACCGTGTAACAGTGTCCGCGCTTGAAGCGAATGATTCTGATCGGGGACGTAGTGTGTCCCCGTCTATCGAATTTGGCGTCCGGGGGGGATCATTCTGGACCATCAACCGATTTGAATCTACGGTTGATGGAATCTCCAGCGACAAAGATGGCTGCTCTACTGACTGTGAGAAAGGACTCTGTCGCTTGCTCAGTGTTAGCACATCCCATTCATTTTTAATGACAAGGCTGATCACATACACCTCTATCTTGGATATTAGCCTGAGGACTTAGGAGGCCGTCATCACGGCTTCCGTTCGGTGTCAGCATGATCAGTCTGACAATTCTAGGTTAGTAGAATAATTTGAAAAGAATAATTATCATCTATCAATATAGTCGGAGAAGGGGCGGAAGCAGAGGTAAGCGATGTAGACGGGGTTTTATCAATCTTTGAGAGTGGCTGAGTCTGCCTTGGTAAGACGAGAAATATCATTTATCCAAAAACATCATTCGACGCAATTTCCGACTGGGGCAGGTGAAAAAGAATAAAAAAGGCATAATTAAGACACTCTAGATACAGTAATCCAAAGATTCGAAAGGATTCTGTCTCCTCCTCACTTGACCAGGTATTGACGCTGCAGTGCACAACTTGCCCAAGAGCTTGGCTTCAGCACTGCCCTCCTTGTCCTGCAGTGCGGAGCATTCCCAGACAAGAACATTTAATAAGAGGAATAAAGTCTCGGCCAGTACCTCCAAGAAAGATGAATCATCGACTCCAAATCTAGGAACGCTCCGTTTCATCCAAAGTCCAGACGACGGACGAGTACGTCAACCAGTATAGACGCCAGGGGCTTCCTCAAACCCACCCATACTTCGGCACAAATGCACGAGAATGGGCCGTCAACGGCGCCTGCAAAACAATTTCCCAAACGAAGGCCAAGCGCGAGGGGGACAAGGACCAGAGAGAGACCTCGCATATGATTGGTCCCCAAAGGCGCTCATATCAGTATGAACCAGAACTCAACTGAGGCGGAATTGCAATGCACCCACTGCGCGCATCAGATTGAGCATTGTGCGACTATTGGAGTAGCCAGTGAGCTTTGCCGCCTGCATAGTGTCTGGAGCCGACGGTGCTGCGCCTCGCTTGGCCGATAGGCAAATCACAATAGACTTTGCTATTTGACCCACGCGTACAGAAGAGGCATCTGGGCATGCGTATGTGGATGCGATAATCAGCACGGCATACTGCTCCGTCCAGTCATCCAGTAAGAGCTTTGTTGACTGAGAGTAAGGTCATAAACCATGTGACTGTCACAACAGTCGTCAACGCTTGACAAGCAGCCACATCTGGGGTGCTGCGCCACACCTCAGGACTCTCGTCCTATCTCTCTGAACCGCCGAGACTCCATCATTGAGAGGGTCAGGAACCTGCACGAGGCGAAAGCTCGCGATCTCAGCTAGGGCTTGTGATGAATGGGACCAGGGATAAAGGATGTGGCGCAGTTGTGGCGTTTGTGGCGAGTGGCCCTGGTAGCGGCTTGTGATCGTATTCGTTCCAGGGTAGACTAGTCACCACGAGCGACGAGCCTCACTGAGACTAGGTGAGGCTTAGAATTTTGGTTTAAGCTTGTTGGATGATTGACGAGGGTGATGCAACTCTGTAAGCAAGAAGAAGGTAGTTGGAAGAATAACGATGGAGAAAGAAGCGAAGCAGAAGGTCCCTTGGGCCTTGGCTGTAGGCAGCATCATTATCAGTTGTGTATATATCGTATTGTCATAGATTACAGCATTGCCCAGGTGGTACAGTCTGTCCAGTGGTGTAACTTTTGTATGGACATTACATACTTCTTCAACATCATGATAAGAGCACAGCTACTACCTAGTCAAGGCATACACAAGTCCCATTCTATACACACTTTGCCATCTTAGGCAGCTGCACAGGCGTATTTGGCGTCTTACATCCTTGCTCGCCATGTAAGCTTATTTGCAGCCTGTTCCTACAAAGACCTAGTGTCTGGGTCATCTCTCCATAGCCACAATCACCAGGTCTGTACACGTAGTGTTTACCGTCAGCAGGGTAAACGCATCATTCACATGCTACTATTGGAGCCGGATACGATGGAATACGATCTGGTCTATGTGGAGCGTTGCAACGACCGCTAGTCTATTCCTCCCAATCCAATTCTCCCTCGTTTAACAGCTCAGCATATCGGTTCCCCAGCCCACAAAAACACTCCCTGGACCGTCCCACCTCATCATCCTCCGCCTCCTTCCTGCCCAGCACCTCCTCCATGGCCCACGCAATCCTCTCAGCCCCCAGCCGTGCTCCTTCAAGGTTCGGCGCCCCAGGGCCGATACGCAGCGAAGCCAGCCTCCCGGTCACGAACAGAGGCACATCAGCGCGCCACATGAGATCATCCGTGATGCACGGAAGCCCTTGCTTAGTCTCGATAGGGTAGTTGCGGTGCATTTGGTTCAAGAGCGGGAGCTCCTGGACGTCGCACTTCATGCCTGTTGCGCAGTAGATGTAGTCGATCGGGGGGAGGTCCGGAATGGGAGGGTCTGTGGTGAGACGCCAGGTCTGAGACAAGGGGCAGTACTCCTTGCTGCAGATGACGGTGCGCGTGTGGATAGAGACTCGATTGCGAGATGCATGGTGCTTTACGATTTTCTGGTAGCGGGGCGTCATGCTGCCGCCGTTACGGGCTATTTTGATCATCTCCAGACGTTCTACTTGGATGTTAGTGCTGATGCGTTAGGTGGGAAATACGAGACAGACCTTCATCGGTGTCTGCGCCCCAGAATGCTGCTTTCTCAAAGTTTCGGAACTTGCCCATCCAAGGCAGACTGATGTCGAAGTGTTTCACTACCTCTCGTTAGCACGCACTCTAGATTATCTTAACTAGAATGTGTCCGACTTACCCTTGAGGTCTGACCTCATGAGATACCACACCTTGGTGACACCCTTTCGGACAGCCATGTCGACAATCTGCGCAGACGACAGCCCTCCACCGACGACGACGACGTTCGTCTCCTGTCTCTGCTGTATTTTCCTTTTCACATTAGGACTCGGAAATGTCTGGATCTCGCTGCTATGGCAAGCACCCATCTTCTCCTCCGCAGACAGTTCAAACGGGAAGGCCTTCGTCTTGCCCGGCCCGATAGCCAACACCGCAGCCCGACTATAAAACCTCCTCCCGTCGCTGGCAGTCACTGTAAAGATCTTCTCGCCAGGCGAGATCTCCTCATGAAAGCTATACCGGATATCATCGACCTCATTCTGGAGAATCAGACCGGGTGCATCCAGCCCATAACGCTCAATGATACTAGCACAGTAGTCCGCAAAAAGCCCCGTCGACGGCGAGAAGTAATCCTTGCGATCTCGTTCATCAATCTCCACCTCGCCAATTGCCCTAGAACCCTGTTAGCAACTTGCCCCTAAACATAGCAGCCAAAGAACACAAATTCACTTACACAGGCTTTCCCCGCAATCTCTTCTTCTTCTTATGCTTGCTGACCTCCTTCCCCACACACCCCGGAATCTCCCACAGATCCCTCTCCCGTCCCGTTTCCTGCGTATACGCCAGCATCCCGTCCCGGTCCGCCGGGTCCACATGGAAGAACATCGGGCTGCGCAGCTGCGCAATCTCAAGCGTCCTGAACGCCCGGTGCCACCGCTCCATCCAGCCCGCCGCGGTCCCGTCCAGCACCAGCATCGAGATTCCTCCCTTCGTGCCCATCGCCTGGGCCTCCTGCCCGTCCACCGACGACGGGCTCGAAGACAATGACGGCGGAGAGGAGAGAGATCCTCCCCCGGAGCTATCCGAGGCTGTAGAAGAGGAAMTCGAGCGTCGACGCTGGCGCTGACGCTGACGCTTGTCGTAGCTTTGCCACTTCTCCGCCCGGACGGCGTTGAGTTTCTTGCCGTGAGCCTGCACGAGCGCCATCCGTCCGCTATGCTTGTTGATCCAGTGGTAGCGCTGGTGTTCCTCGTCGGTGAACATAGCGGAGGGAGTCGCTTCGTTCAGTCTCGCGGCGACGGCGAGGCCGCAGGGTCCGGCGCCGATGATGATTACATCGTGGAGGGTGGGGATAGGAAAGGAGGAGGGAGGCTGCGTCTTGCTCATTGTGTTGGGTTGTGTATGGTAGATGAAGGTCGGTGCGGCGATGCGGCTTGTGACAAGATGATAGCGATGTGAGAGAGTTCCATGTTGCCGGCTGCTATTTGCAGTACTCGATGATATATAGCGATGGTTGCTGCCACCACCCAGGAGGTACTTGGATCCCAAGGTCCTTGTCTGCTCTTCCTGGAGTTGATGATGTGCAGCGCTGCTGGGGACCCTGGGGGAGATAAGCGGGGGTTCTCAGCGCGGATACAAGCATGATCGATCGGGAATGTGGGCTCACAGTCTCACTTACGGGCGTAGCTGTCGCTCAATGGCCTCTTGGACTTGATAATCTCGTTGCAAGGATACCTTTGCTGGGTTTCGTCGTCGACCGGGTAGAGTCGACCCGATTCTAACTACTGTCAGCATCCATACCTGTGTGCTCAGAAGTATCCAAGTAGAAATTAGATTAATATGACAATAATGCTTAATTACAAATATCTAAATCAGACATTACTTGTGCCATTTCTTCTGCTTCGATTCCTCCGCTGCATTTGCCCTCTGCCGCGGCACACCTCCGCCCTCGCGGCGATGCCAGGCGTCTTGAGGCCACACCCACCCTCGAACTCGCTTCGCGTCTCGTCGCTCTCCGATCTGTGGTTCCGGTATCCATTTGTCTTTCCCCTCTGGGAGAATCCGCTGGCGGGTCAGTGCTCCAGGTCCGCCTACGTTGAGGTGAGCAGAGGGTTGGGACGGCAAGGGCACCGATTTAGACAGCATGAGCAGAAAGTACAAGGCCAAGCTCGCAGTCATCGGGACGTTAAGGCCGTCTTCGAACCTTGATGTGGGGTCGCATTCTGCTCCAGCTGATTGACTGTCGTGAGACTGCTCGGGTGACTGTGCCTGGGCAAAAGAAGCTGGCTGCAGCCCCAGTTCTTCCGGACTCACGGCGATGTTAGTGGGAATTGGTGCCGATACCTCCAGGAACCCAAAATATGGCACGTCGTCTCCTTCGTCGCACCCCGCGCGCACACAAACAAGTTCAATCTCGGTGATGATGAAGCCGTATCGGCATGAGTGCTCGCGCATGCACCGTTGCAGATGGGCTAGACCATTGAGGTACTCCACCCGCCGGTGAGGCGCTTCGTTGCGCATGCCCGTGTTCCAGCGGTCAAAGCTCTTGACGATACCGACGAGCCGTCCCCGAGGCATACCGGAACTGGTCTGCTCGGTATCAGACGCATAGTTGGCAAGAAAGTGCGGTCCACCTGTGTTCTTGCTGTTTGAAGCCCGTAGGTTAGGCGCCGGATAGAGTTTTAGATGCTCTGGTCCTTGGGATACAGCGAGCGCGGCATTGACACGCGGTCCATAGATGTCCCGTATAAGATTAACCAACGCGGCTTCGGAGTCGGGAGACAGGCGAGACGGGGCTACCGCGACTGGCGGAGTCAAATCGGAGGAGATTGCAGTCCTCAGAAGCTTGGTGAGGCCATTGATCGAGTTAAACGTCTGAAGCGTGAACGAGGTCCAGCTACGCAGGTTCCTAATGTCCCACCAGAAATAGTCGTGCATTCCTCGTGTGGGAACCACGCTGACATTACGAACGAGATTGATTGCTTGAGTGGAAGATGTCAGGTAGGAGAGCAAGGTAGTCGACTGCGGCATCAGACCCTCCGCATGAGGCGCAATGCCAACGGGCGAAGGCTGCGCGCTCGGAACTCGAGCATACCCGTATGGGGAGGGTGGAAGGACAAGTGGCGTCTGAGTCTGACATTGGACCGGGGACGGAGAGCCGTCATTGGGCGAGGTCTGAGAGTATGACCGGTGTACCACAATATTTGGTGTCACCGGGGTGACTGGGGCGGATGGCGAAGGGTGCGCTTGCGTGGTGTACTTTGGAAGATGCCGATAGGTCGGATAGCCGTATCGACTCAGGGTCGCTTCGTCAATGCTGGAAACAGAACCTGATCGAGAATGCCCGCCGGAAACCTTGCGCTTATGCGACGGCGTAATGTTCACAGGGGAGGACAGTGTGGAGCCATTGTGAGAACCATACATGGGCGAGGTTGTAGCTGGTGACACCAGAGGAAGGCAATCCGCCATTTCTAGGACATTCCGCTGAATGTCTGGACGCCTGGGAGGATAAGGTAGGAAGCCTGGCGGGTTCCGAGTATTGGAGAGAACGCGACGATGGCGCTGGGGTCCAGGGGCAGGCGCAGGCTCAATCACCACATCCTGCGACCTGATTTTCGGCAGCAGAGCAGGGCCGTGCTGGTATCTTGGAGGAGAGGCTTCTCTCGGACTGGTTCCAGCGGTCATGGCCGACCACGGTGAGGAATCATTGGAATAGATGGATGAATCAGACGCATTACGACTGTGGGTGGCTCCAATAAGCTCCACCAATTGCAGTCGTGGCGGTGTCGTCGGTTGATAGTAAGAATATTCCAGGGACATAATGTCGATCTCTGGGTCACAGTAGAACTCAATCACGATTCTTTATTTCACAACGAATGATCAGCGAGTAGTTATCCGGAAGAACCAGCTTCCTGCGACTCGTGAAAGAGCAATGTCCACCAACGAGGTGACAAAGAAGGATAGAAGCGAGGGTGTCGAGATGTTCCAATTGAAACGCTAGCACAGTCGAGTCATGTTCTATGTGAGTGACAACGATGAGTTCTTGAGGCATCAAGACGGAGAATGTTTGGATATTAAATGCTCTTCGTTGAGAAGCCACCCGAGCCAGGCCAAAAAAAGCATACGATAGACAGATCCAGAATAGAATAACCTGAAACATGGAGGAGGCTCCAGATTAACGCCAGTAAACTAGCCATTCTGGGGTGTTGAGAACTGTAGAACGAGGGTCTCGAGGCATGATCTGCCGATTATCTCTAAGAAGATGCGCGAAACAGACGAGACCATGGGTAAACAAGGCAAGCATAAGTGTTTCATGTAGCAGTCGCGCGTCAAAATGTTGCTAATTTTTGCATCTGCTCATTTCTTCAGGATCTGAACAAGATCCTCAATCATTCCCTTCAGGGTATGGCTCGAAGGCCTCGTGGAACAAGATCTAAAATCGGCAACACTCGTGTTTCGTGCTATTTCTGGGTAATTGTAGCCAAATTAATGGGAATTTATCGCAGAGGGATGAGCGTAACGCCTGGGTACTCATCAGTCGGCGGCAAGCAGATGAAGAGCCAGATACGACTGGTGATACTTCTCGAGGTGCGTGGCTCGTTGAGGCGCACAAGTCTTCAGAGATCAAAGCGCCGAGAGGCAGCAATTGCGACGGAACGACTGTCTGGCGCACGCAGAGAAGACCAGAGAGCCTCAGCGAGTGAAATCAAAGTGTCCTGGTTTCAGATCTTCCATTTCTAAGAATACCCAAGTCGAAGAGATGTCGGTATACATGAGCACTTGAGGTGGTTGCAGTAGGCGCCGGGCCACCGTTCAAGGTCGGCGTCAAGCTCGCTGAGTGGCTCATCCTTGACGAGGTGCAGTTTAATTGACATGTCCCCTTCTGGAATCGGCGAATCATTTGCCATCAGAAAAGAAAAAGCAATTCGATTCAGACTGCATTATGAGATTGGATGAAGGAACGCAGGTGTAAGAGAGGGGAGTGAGGTGCGGTTTGATGGCTTGCCGGTTCGCTGGCTTACGGGGATGCTTGAATGATCTGAAGTACCTAGTAGTCAGTAAGGAAAGGCGAACATGAAATCAGCGGATTTAGCCGGTTGTTTCCGCAACTGGCTCACAAAGTTTCATGTTTGCCAACAAATCCCGACTCGACTGAACATCATGACTATTCTCTCTCTGGCATACTGAACTTGGAAACCCATGCTTGGATGATTACATATCACGTGACCTATAGGCTGCGAAGAAGCCCTAATGCTATCCTTTATGGAATACCAGCGACGATTTTAAAATGGCCATGTAGATTGTCATCAGAATAAATTGTGGTATTTGAGAAGTCATAGCTCAATTAGAATATTAATATCAACAGCAACAGAGCAGCCAAATCACGCCGTTTGATCTGTTCGTGAACCCCATTCCAGTGCTGCTTGGGTTAAACGCATCTCGATAATATAACCACTTGTCTTCGCTTCCGAAAGAAAAAGCCCAAAAAAGGTATCAACGTGAGAACCAGCACGACAAGCTGCTGCAGGACTCGATCTATCGAGGCGCTGTGACTAAATAAGGTGACGCTCGAGGGAATCTAATAAACGGTCTAGAAGCCTGATCATGTCCAAGGAGGAAAGGGAAAAAAGAAATTGTATCGTCAAGTTTCGGCAACGATCTATGCCTTGATTTCATACTTTCGTCGGAACATGTCGTCAATCTCGGTCAGGTAGTATGTACCGGGGAAGAGCGTGTCGGTGTTGCCGGTAGGCTTGAAGTTCTTCTTCAAGTGGGCATGCTCACGCAACATGCACATCTGAAGATAGGGGTCAGTCAATCTGAGTATCAAGAAGGGGGATTTATTAGCTTCTTACGTCATCATAAGCCTGAGGATGTAGGACGGTTCTGGCGTTGAGGCGCTTGTGCAAGTCAAGCTTCTCAACCATCCCGGAGACATCACCGACAATCTTGACACTGAACATGGAGCTGGCGAGACCGCTACCGTACGAGAAGAGGGCAATGCGCTTGGGCTGGCTAGGATCAAAGGTGACGTTGCTGAGCAAGCTGGCGAGACCGGCATAGACGGTGGCCGTGTACATGTTACCACACAGCGTGGCAACGTCGAGACCGGGACGCACACGCTCAGCGAAGGTTTTCTTGGTCAGACCCATGAAGGTCTTCTCGACGGTCTTGTCGGTGAAAGACTTGTCGTAATCCAAGTCACGCAGTTCAGAAGGCACTTCGGCAAAGGCAGGGTGGCTGGGGTTGGCGAGGTAGTCATTGTAGAGCATGCGGCCATAGGACTTCTGCACCAGCTTGCAGGTTGGGGCGTGGAACAGGACGTAGTCAAAGCGGTCGAGGGCAGTCTTGGCCTCATCCTGCTCGACTCCGTTGGTGCCATTCTGAACCTTGGCCTTGAGCACCTTTTCACGAGCAGCATAGGCCTTGTAGCAAGCATCAACAGCCTCGGTATAGCACCTGAGCGAGAAATGGCCATCAACGACGGGGTATTCGCTAGTGAGATCGGGCTTGAAGAAATCATAAGCGTGGGTGACGTAACTGCCACGCAGACCAGGCTCGAACACGATAGGGGCATCAGGGCCGATCAGCAAGGCGACGGCACCAGCACCACCAGTGGGGCGGGCAGCTCCCTTGGCATAGAGGGCAATGTCTCCGCAGACAACAATGGCATCTCTGCCGTCCCAGGCAGAAGACTCAACCCAGTTGATGCTGTTGAATACAGCGTTGGTACCACCATAGCAAGCATTGACGGTGTCGACACCCTCAATGTTGGTGTTTCCATGAGGAGCAAACAGCTGCATCAGCACTGACTTGACCGACTTGGACTTGTCAAGAAGGGTCTCTGTGCCGACCTCAAGGCGACCGATAGACTTTGGGTCGATGTTGTACTTGCGCAGGAGGGAGGAGCAGGTGGTCAGAGCAATGGAGTAGATGTCTGCGGAGGTGACCAGTTAACATTTCGGGTGTACGAGGAGCAGGGTAGTGGGAAGATCATACCTTCACGGTCATCACAGAAGCTCATCTTGGTCTGTCCCAGACCAATGGTGTACTTTCCCTCACTCACTCCATCGAACTTCTCCAACTCCGCCTGGTCGACACACTGGACATACCATTAGCACTGTGGTGAAGTGGGAATGTTGGGACAGGACAAGGTGCAGAGGAAGCAGACCAACATACCTGACTGGGGAAGTAGACCTCAATGGCCTTGATACCAATGTTCTGGGGACGAGCAGACATGGCGGCGAAGGGGTTGCGAATTAGGAATATTATATATGGAGGAAGGAAGGTAAAAGGTAAACACTAAAGAGGCAGTCTCTCACGCACAAAACGGAAGCAGACAATGATTGCGAAGACGGTGAAACTTAAGAGGGGAAGGAGAGGAAGAGAAGGAGGGAGGGCCAGGTGTACCTTTAAAACAGTAGGTAGGAAAAGAGAAAGAAAGCAATGGCCGACTGATTGCCAGAATCGTCTTACCTATTATTTTTTATTGCTGCTCCTCCCTCCTACTAGTAGGTACCCCCTCCTCCTGTCGAGGGGATTTCCATTCCATTTTCTCAGAGGCAAAACCAAAAAAGAATCGGTCCAAATGGGGCCCTCTTCCGTTACTAAGCCTATCTAGGTTTGGTGTTGTGGGTCCACTTCTACTTATGGCGAAGCACCCAGTGATGCCTTAGGCTCCCGCTTAGGTAGTAGGGACTGACCTGGCGAATCAGAGTGGAAACTGCGATATTGGAGAGGCAAAACATTATATGTAGTGACAGGAGTATGGATGCAGAGTCGACATCTATGACATTCTCGAGATATGACAGTGCATTGAGAACGAAAATGTGAGCAAGCAAAAAAGAAATTTTCGAAAAAAGGGGTAAAAATGGAGCAGAGACTTCCCGCTAGCTCAGTTATCCCAGATGCTTGTCATCAGTCCTCTCTGATGGCGATGATATTCCATCCAGTATTCCTATACTCCATCTGCATACTTTCAAGAGGATTGACGCGACATACGCACTCACACACCGACTCCTGAAGTTACAAACTTAATTTCTCAAAGAGTATTTCTGGTCAGTTGACCCTTTGCAATAATGAAATCTCTAGAATCAACTTCCCCATTACTATTGGGTTGGACCATGCAGTGGTGAGCAAGGACTGCTCTAGCCGGGGAGTAGTGTACTGATGTTTTCGCAGCACAATAGAGCACAGCTTAATCTCCCAACAATCATCCTCATGGTTCTGCGGAACCAAGTGGGACAAATTCTTGTGTCTCAATTCCATTACGCCAACAATCATAATCATAGTTTTCAGTAATTGGGCAAAAAATATTTCTGATGTGTTGCATGACTTGCCCTGCTGGGGGATCGCATCATGATAGATGTTGTACTCCGTTCAGTCTAGTACGTATAGTAGATCGTAGATTATTATTAGTCCCCCATACTCCATAGTCCTTAATCTGACACTTGTTCCATTCCTATCAGAGTCGCGGGGTTCTACTCTCGATATTTGCCCTTTTCAATCCCATATTGTCAGCGTCATTGTTCCGTAGACGCTGGTGACATCTAGCTGGCGATAATGTAGAACTGTCGTTCCTGCCAAGCCTGAGGACTACATACGGACGGGATTACGTAGATAGTCTTGACATGAGGTCGATCTTATTATTTATCTCTTTCAATCATCTGTCACTACCTAAGCCATTATTTCCTATCGTAACATTGGAAATTTACATATACTGACCGCTTGGCTCGGATGACAAGTATCCCAGTTTCCCAGAAACCCAGAAGAAACGAAGATATTTATCAATCTTATCTTATGGATTTACACAATATGCT